TAGTTGGATCTTCTGGCCTTTTGCTGTAGGTCTAGTACCGAAAGCCTACTTCTTTAATTTCTTGACTCACAGTCTTGCGAAATCATCCGATTTTAGGATGTTGTTGTTTGAGTAGGATGCTAACTGACTTACTCTGCGCCTTGCAGGAATATGGGGCTGAGGTGGTCACGGTAGTGGATTTAGCTTGTTCCAAACCGCATCTGTTGTCAAATAACTGTGCGCTGCTCACTGGATTTGGGGCTACTTAAGTGGACCGAGTAGTGAAGTGGTCTCCTCCCACTCGAATGGCATAGCATGGACCTGACCCCAGATCCCAACCGACCGCACGTCGTGAGTCGCTGTAACCATGTAAACAATGCGAAATTGGCTTGACTTGTAGATTAATGTGGTGTCAGTGTTGGAGTAGCCACTACCCATGCTAGAGTCACTCACCACCACAGCTGTGTGGTGGTTGCGGAGTTTCGGGCCGCTGACAAGAAAGGGGGAAGATGGCAGTGAATTTTAATGCTGCAAGCTGAAAGTGAGCTATCTCGAGTCTGTGAAGGCGTTTCGGCGGCGTATCGACTACTGCCGCCGTTGTATGTAAGTCGTGCCAGCTGCAGATGGCAAATAGTCCATCGGAGCAAAGCTGACGTCTAACTGCCTTCTCAGTAGTGTAGAAGGCGCGGTGTCGGCGGGAGTTGCAGTCAAGTGTCTGTGTGCTAGTAATTGACTCAGAGGTGGCGCTGAATCCCCCACTATTAGAGGGATCGTGTTTGCTTTCGTCGCGTGTGAATTTGCCCATCACAGGGTAAAGCGCGTCGTAGTTGGGTGTGTCGTTTGGAGTTGCCGACACGTCTTGAACATTGTGGTAAGTGATTGCAATCATCGGTTGACAGTTGTTGTTGTGCGTATGGGGACTGGACTGACGCTGGTGTGTTAAAGACAGTGGCAGCAGTGGTTGAATACGGGCTCACGCTTTTCACACCAAGCAGTATGTTTCCCTATCACGTTTTGCTGCATTGTGGGTTTGATCTCTACACTGCCACATGATTCCAGTCGCTGCAATTACTTTAGTAGCATGATGATAATTGTCTTTGTGATTTTTCAGGCACTTAAGGAGTTACTTTCAGCAGGCCAACATCCACCTGGTGGAGGACCATATGAAGGCTCTTGAAGGTCTCACTTTGAACGACGTAGTGGTCTTCGTTGCAGCCTTTTTGTCTCGTGTCTACGTCAAGGCGTTCGTCTACGGCAACGTTCCTGCCACGGTATGGCCTTGCTTATGCACAGCCGTCGTCTTGCCCTTGTGAGAAGGCGCGAGAGGAGGGAGTGAGGCTTGGAGGGGAGGGCACGAAACATTGCAGACTAGGCTAACTTGAGGACCACGAATTTGTGTCATTTTGCCTCCTTTTCCCTTTGAGTAGTTGAATTCTTCTTTTGTGACACTGGCCCACGTGTAAGTTGTCGTGTGAAGCTGTTTGCTTCACTCAGAATTGATGCGCAGGCAACGCCCGAGACTGGCGCCATACATCAGTGACAAGTGTGCTTCACCAGCCCTTGCTGACTGTTTGGTTACTGCAAGTCGTTTGTCTGTGTGCGTGCTTGTGTGCGGTACAAAGAGGGTGGTTGATTTCGCAACAACAAGAAGAAGGTGGAAGTAGGGTGTTCGTGAGTCAGTTCACTTTTCTTCTTTTGCCGAACATGGGCCGGTTTCGGTTGTGTAGTAAGCGTTGACCTGTTGTTGATTTGTCAGGCAAGTTTGGTCTTTGTTTGGTGCAAGACGGAGCAATACAGTGAGCCATGAACTCTTCTAGGCGATGATGAGTGGGATAAGGAGACGATGTATGAGGTCCTCCATGAAAGGGTGATTTGTCGGGGGATGGTTAAGAGAAAGGGTTTGGTGGGTGAGTCATGCAAGAGGGAGCATTCTGGATGAATTGGAAGGACCATTGAGGAGTTCCTTTTTTTTTCCAATTCAATAGGAGGCGAAACAGTACGTTGATTACACCCTATCCACACTGAAACCGCGAGAAGTCGCTGTCTTGAAACCTGTGAGTCTTCATCTAATGTCTTTCCTACATGGCATCCCAGTGTGGAATGTTGTTTGAATATCGGCGGCTTGTGTTGTTTACACATTGTAGTACCGCAAGGCTGCTCTGCCTGCATGCTTGAGTCGGCTGCGTGTGATGAATTTCGATAAGACCGATGTGAACACCTACCTGGTGTTGGTGAGTCCCCTCCAGGGCACACCGTCGCATGACCTTCGATACGAGGTGATGAACGAGGTCCTTGAAGTGAGTGGTCACTCGTTTTGCCCTGTGTTTGCCCCCTCATGGATGAGTGATGTGTTGCGAGGTCGTTTTCTGCTGACCTGCAGTCCTGTCTGCAAGAGTCGGCCTTCGCGTACCTGCGGACGAGGGAGACACTGGGCTACTCAGTGGGCCTCTACAGTTGGTCACTGTCCAGCACCACGGGACAGTGTGGTCTCTCGCTGTATGTAAGCAGTCAGGCGAACAAATTCGACAGCAATGTGGTGGCCGGACGCATGTACGCCTTCTGGTACCGTATTATGCCCTACATGGTCTTTCATCTCAAGGAGGAGGCCTTTCGGACGTCGGTACGTGAAATCTTGCCTTCTGAGTGGTGGGTGAAGAGGTCACATAGGGGAGTGAGCC